TGTCAGACACTTGACAGGAAAAGAAGCAAACAGGAGTATGGGGTGTCAGGGATCCGTCCAAGCTTATGTGAAAAATATACCATTGGCAGCACAATTCAGAGACACCTAACATATGTGAGGGAACGGTAGCAGGCGCCTTCCAAGCAAACTTGAAGGTCAGGTCGTGTTTCTGCTACATTTACCAATTTGAAACACCATGTAAAAGGAATGTTTTTCTTCCCACCATTTTAAGATATGATCAAATACCTTTTCAAAAGATAATAGAAGTCTTATTTATCACTATCCTAACAACCTGATATAAGGAGCTGTGGACCTTCTGATTCACCACAAGACTGAATGCAATTTCACCACAGTGAAAAATACTTCTATAGCCTGCCTGTGTCTTCAGCCCTCCCATCCTAATTGCTTGTGAATCCAGAAAGCATTCCACTGGACTCTTTATTGTTGTCTGTAAACAAGAAATAAAAACCTGTAAAGTCTAGCTAGTATAAAATGTTTTATTTCCTGAGAAAATTATATAAAGTGGGTTTGTGACCAAATCAGTAATTTCATGCATTTCAGATTTTTATTTAAAAAAAATAACTTACACAGGAATATGTAACTGTGAAGATAAATTTACTACCTGATTTAGAATGTAACATAAACAATGAATCCCACTATAAAATGTTTTGTAGAAAAAATTGCTCAACATAATTATGTATATATATATATATATATGTTTATATATATATTCTCAATATGTGTTCAAATAACACTCTCCCTGAGTGGTCAGACTCCATTAAAACAAAACATCACAACACAGAGACATCTTCTAGGTGCCAAGGACGTGTTAGGTAGATTAGCAAATTGAACCAGTTACAAGAAGGTGCCCTAGAAATGTCAGAACATAAAGCAACATAGTTTCCCCCTTTGTTGACATTTACTCTAAGACATTTTGCCAAGTTCCTTCCTCTCTAGGCTTCAGCTACATCATCTGAAAGTAGACTCTCAGATACCATCTTAGATTTGTCCCAGTTACCAATTCCATATCCTAGGTTAGGCAAACTTTCCAGTGAAGAGGCTGTATTAAAAAGAATGGAAGGTGATTTTCTAACCACACCTACCAATTAAACCAATTTTGTGAGTTATGACAAATGTTTATTGATTTGTCATCTATCACTATCTTCCAGTTATTTGCATTTCCAAGTACTATGTATAGTCACATGAACAAGAAATAGAGACAAATTTTTAATTGTAGACATTACTAAGATTTTCTATTAAAATGTAATTCCAGATTGTCCATTAAAGTAATAATGTGTTCCATATTGTCTCTTTTGTCCTTCCTTTCAGCATCTATGGAAACAAAGTAGGTGTGTGTGTGTGTGTGTTTGCGTGCGTGCGTGTGTGTGTGTGTACATGTACAGAGAATGTCATGTAACAGTCTTCAAAGCAAACAGAAATAAAAAATTAAAACAAAGACTATCATAGAATCTATGCTGAGGAGTCTAGCTTAGATACATAGGCATCTGGAAATACTCTAACATCTTAAGTGTAAAGTATGGTGGTACTTACCAAATTACTATAGCTTCTAGCAATTTGCAAACTCCTAGATAGCAAGAATCATTTTACTGAGGACAGATACATAGAAGGAATCAAAGATGCCTGTGTGATCCTTAAATAAATGTACCTTTGTATATGCAGGCACTACTGCAATTATAAATACAAAACTTAAAAATAGTTAGATGTTAACTGCTTCGCTCCTCAAATTATGTAGCTAGCTGCACAAATGACACACCAGTTCCATGTATTTTGCAACTATCTATGGAGGCTTACCAGGGCAGTACTAGGTAACAAGTATTTAGCAATGGATAGGACAAATAATTATGAGAAATATGTGGTCCATTAGAAGTAAAACAGAGATGTATGAAACGGAATGTTGGGGTTGGTTGTGAAAAACATGAGGAAGTCATGTGTGCTATGGAGTAATGTAGTTTTAGCCAGACTATTGAGATACCTAATTTTAAAATGGCATGTACTTTAAGAAAGAAATTTTTTTGGTATTATTATTTAGGACTGAGGAATTACAGTGTTGTGATTTTTTAAAAGTTAAATATTCCTGATATGTTTTTCAAACTAAATATATTGAGTTCTATATAAAGATATTGCCTCATCTGACAGATGTTAGAAGCCTGAGATTTGTTTAAAAGCTTTCAGAAGAGAAATAATGTGTAAGACATAGTTTCTATTATCATGAGAAATCCAGTAATAAGAACAATTACTAACAACTTGATAATATGTTAGCAAAATGTATTGCTTTTTTTAGTTGTGATTTAAACTTCACTTTGAAGTTGTAAGTTTATATCTAAAGATTTAGCTGGTCATTCTCTACATATAAGTAAAATAGTCACATAATCAGTAGTTCAAAAATCTACTAATTAGAGAACAGGGCAACCTAGATCATCCAAAATGACTAACAAGTTTTAGGAAAATTTTTCTATTTTAAATTAAAATTCTATATCATATAAAATGTATCCACATACCAAATAGTCAATTGCATTCAGTCATGGATAAGGCAATGTAATGTCTGTGTCTCTAAGTATGTATTATAACTCAAAGCAGAATATAGGAAAGATACATAGCCAAGAATTCTATTCATGTACAGTGAAAATCAAGAGACATTAACTAAAAACAGTAACACACAAGAACCATCCATTATGTCAGCAGACTTAAACCCTGCCAGCACGTGTTTCTCAGTCAGTCACAGTGACATTTTTCAGGGGTTCTTGTACCCTCTCATTTTCTTCATTTTTTTTTACTGCTTTAAGAAGCTGAATTCAGCATCTGGCACTAACGAATTATTAGAATTGCAAAATAATTTTTTTGCCCTACTATGACTAACTTTGATTTGCATAACCCATTAGCCTAGTTCTTCAAATCCAGATTTTCAGGAGACAGCAAAAATATGTCATTGAAAATGTGTTTTATCATGATAATTCCAAGAAGAAGCTATTATGGGGTGGGGCAATTTCAGAAAAAATGGGTTTATAAATAAAAATAGAAGAACCAAGAGATAGTAAGCCAGAGCAACACCTACAGGCACACAGTATACTCTCTTTGTAGACTGAGAGAGATTTGGGGGTTTTATTGTTGTTATTTGTTTGTTTTTTAATTTATTTTTTAAAGAAAACTATCTTTTCTCATTTTACATACCAATCCCAGTTCTCACTCCCTCCCCTATTCCCACTCCCTCCACCTTCCCACTATTCCACCCACCCACACCCACCCCTGAATCCTCTCCTCAGAGAGGGTAAGGCTTCCTTCCCATGGGGAATCAACAAAGTCTAGCACATCACTTTGAGGCAGGACCAAGGCCCTCCCCACTATATCTAGGCTGAGAAAGGTATCCATCCAAAGAGAATGGGTTCCAAAAAGTCAGAACAAGCAATAGGGATAAATCAGTCTCACTGCCAGTGACCCCACAACCTGCCCAAGCCATACAACTGTCACCCACATTCAGAGGGCCTGTTTTGATCCTATGCAGGATCCCTCATTGTCAGGCCAGAGTTGGTGAGCTCCCAATAGCTCAAGTAAGCTGTTTCTATGGGTATCCCCATCATGGTCTTGACCTCTTTGCTCATATTCTTACTCTTCTCACTCTTCGACTGGACTTTGGAAGCTCAGCCCAGTACTCCACTGTGGGTCTCTGACTCTGCTTCCATCAGTTGCTGAATGAAGGTTCTATGGTGATATTTAAGATAGTCATCAATCTGACTACAGGGAAAGGTCAGTTCAGGTACCTTTTCCACTATTGCTTAGGGTCTTAGCTGGAGTTCCTCTGAGGTTGCCTTGCTTTAATATTTTTATTAATTAATTAATTTTCCCCAGCCCTTCCCTCCCTCTTCTCTTCCAGTCCCTTTCTCATCCTCCTCTCTCCCCTACATCAAAAATTTGGTTTCTTAAACTACACTGTGAAATATATTTCATTACAATTTTTTAAAATTTTTCACTGTACATATTCATTGTCCATGCTATTTTATTATATTTAAGACATTTTTATTTAAGCAAGTAGTGAATGCTGGAAATATTCCCTCTGGACCCCTTTCCCCGTCTCACCTCTCCTCCTCTCTTTAGTCACCTTACTTTCTCCAGACAGTTTTGCTTATATATACCTTGTTTTACAAATTTATGTAAAATCTGGGAATCACATAAGAGAGGAAGTTTACAAACTTCATCTTCTCCAGACTGGCTCAGCTCACATAATATGTTAATTCCAAGCTACATCCATTTTCCTACAAGGGACATAACTTTATTTTCCTTAATGGCTGGAAAGTTCTTGGCATGTTCTTTGGGTGTCAGCATCTTCGTTGTTTATCTAACCCTGACAAGTCACTACACTGTAGTCACTGCTAACCTAATCAAAGTGTTCTTGTTCCTCCCACTTGTCCTGGAGCTCCTCATCAGACACATATAGAAGTTCCTCCTTTGTTGTTATACATAATATTATACATACTATTTTACTGATTCTCATCCTTCTGGAAAAGGGATTTCTCCTTTTGCCCATTATGGTACTAAAGGCAATTGTCACCATTTCTTAGAACCTACAAAAATACCATTTTTATTAAAAGGACTTACTTGATATTTTGTCTTACATGCATTAATCTATGCATGGAAAATAATTGCATTTCCCTTTTCCAGAATGTTCTTACGGTGCCAGAAGCAGAGAATCTCAAGGTAGTAATTTTAGCATAATAATGAATTATCATGTAAAGACAAACAGAAATTGTTCAATATCACTATAGAAAAGACAGCTAGTTTCAGACATGGTTTAATTAATTTACCCAATTGTACTAACACATTATACCTGAAATATGCAATTGACCAATCATTTAAATAAATGTTAGTAAATGTATAATAATTATTCTGATTTGCGCTTATATATTTTTCCATTTGTAAAAGAACTGTTCATTTATATCAAGGTTTAACTAAATACATATCCCACAGAGCATCTACCACTGATGAAATCTGATGTGTCCACTTGACTTGTTTGCTCCACCAGAAGTCAAAAGGGGCAAGATACAAAGTCCAGTATTTTATTGTAAACATAGAAGAAAACACAAAAATTAAAACAGCATCTTCTCCTCAGAAAACATTATCAGGATTTCAAAGCCTTCTTGAAGTGCTCACAGTGCCATTCACACCTTGGTCATGAATTGGAATGTTGTTTCCATCTGCTCTGCAAGCAATACAAACAGAAGGCGGTGGGGTTAACTGGGTGAGTATACAGAATTACTTCAGACCTGTCCATCAAACACATGCCTGTGGCAGCTGTTCTGTTTTGCATCAAATAATGCAAGACAAACACACCCCTAAGAGTTGGTGAAGGAAAACAAAATGTATTATCCTTTAATGGTGAAGGTTTATTGAGGCTGGCTGAATGTCTTTGTCTTAGAATCTCTTGTGTTTTAATCCAGTTTTAATAAATTAATGTGGAGAGTGGAATCATCTGTAGACTCCATCAAATTCTTGTGCAGGAGAGCCTCACTCACTGATCTGACATCTCATGTGGTGTGTGTGAGGCCTCCGTGGCTGCTACAGATGCTCAAGGGTGCCCAGGCTTGTCTCTCATTCCAAATACAGAAGAGAACAAAGCAATATCTAAAGCAGGTTTGTCATGGCCTCTGCATCCACTGGTTTTCATGTAATAGGACAGTCTCAATTCAGTTGCATTTTTCAACATTTTATTGGCTTCTCACGGGCGCTATGCAAGAGTACAAAATAAACCACGCAGCTTCCTGTGCCCTAACATTAGAAGTCACACTGCCTCTCCTCTGTTTTTTCTATAGTTTTCACAGAAATAGTCTAAATTTAACCGAAATAAGAGATATGCCTACAAACACCCAAGAAGCTGTATTTGGAAATTAATTACCAAAGTCAGAAAAATATTGCTAAATCCATAGCCAGAGAACAATATCCTTTTATCTCCAGGAGCCAAATCGATTACAAAGTCTCAGGTGGAATTTACATCGACAAACCGATAACCCTGGTGATCGGTGGACTTTATATATGCATCCAGCTGGCCTTCACACCCTTCACAGGATGTTAGGATCAAATTTGCTTACGTGCACATGCATTACCTATTCCCATGTTGGTGGCAGAGTTATCTGTGAAGATCACAAATTGAAAAAAACCTCTTTGCTGACATGGCAGCTTCATTAAACTAAAGAACATCAGTGTGATAGAAAATGCCGCCACAAAGCCTTGTTAAAAATAATGACACGGCAGACATGTTTATGATGCAATAGCAGTAAACTGGGTTAGTGTCATATATACTTTAATTTTGTAAGCATGTAGTTATGTGTGTGAATGCATACACTTATAAACAAATGCATGTAATTTATGTGTTGAAATAATCAGAATTGGCTATCTTCAAATATTTATAGTAATCGTATCTGGATGACAGGGTATACGTGGGTTTTTCATTGTTCATACTTGTGTTTTTCCATATTCTCTAAGCACGTCTACAAATTTGTAAGTTATTATGCAAAATTAGGGGTTTCATTGTGTCATATTCACGTGTATTTTATTATACATTGTTCTTTATCTTCCTCTCTAGTGCTCTTTCCAAAATCCTCCCTCTTGATGACTTCTTCTCTCAATAATAGTCTTCCCTTCTCCTTGCTCTTGATAAATAGTCCTCCCTTCTTCTTGCTCTCAATAAATAGTCCTCCCTTCTCCTTTCTCTCAATAATAGTCCTCCTTCTCCTTCCCCTCAATAAATAGTCATCCCTTCTCCTTTCTCTCAATAATAGTCCTCCTTCTCCTTCCCCTCAATAGTCATCCCTTCTTCTTCCTCTCAATAATAGTCCTCCCTTCTCTTTTCATGCCATATGCATTCCACTATCCTTTCTAATCCCCACCTTCTGACTTTGTTTTTCAGATGTTCCATACATTTGTACAATATATGTTGATCATATCTATGCACCACTATCTTTGTCCAGCTCTCTCTAATGCCTCAAACCCATCTGCCTTCTTAACTTCATATCGTCTCTTAAATTATTGTTATTAATAATCCCCTAAATCCAATCAGTGCTGATAATATGCACATGTGTGAAGCCATCCATCAGCACATGGATAACCTACCAATGGCCACATTCCCAAAGAGTGTGACTCTCCCTCACTCAGTAGCCATCAACTGTCAAGAGCTCCCCCAACAGGTGTGTGTCTTCAGTGCCCTTTCCCCCACTGATGCTGGAGATTTAATTGGCTTAATCTTGTGTAGGTTTTATGCAAGTCACAACAGCTGATAACACTGATGCGTGCAATCAAAATTTCATGTCCATAAGTCAGCATTTTGCACCAGTATATCTTGCAGACAGTCACTGTTGTAGGTTGTAGAGGGATATTGCTAATGACCTTTCTTGTTTGATAGCATGGAATGAGACACAGTCTTGCTATATAGCCTGAGTTGATTTTGAATATATTAATCCTCCTGCCTCAGCAGTCTGAGTCCTGGGATTACAGGTATGCACCACCATGTACTTTTTACCTATGTGTATTTGTCGTGTTACTGACAATGACAAAAGATCTTGGTGATAGGTCTTTAACTGCACATGTAAAGTTGCCTTGAGATGTGTAAAGTTGGTTATGTTTATAACCATTAAAATCAGACAAATGATGAGCTCATGACCCTCTAGACCTAAACCGTTAGCAGTGTCGCCTTTCACTCCAACCTAATTCTATGCTGACAGGCTAATCAAGCTCTGTATGTGAACACCAGTGGCCATCTGAGAAAGATTTGATACGTTGTCTCCTTCATATAAGTTGGTCCTCAAGTAAATCCTAAATATATCATATCAATTGTGAGTTGTTCTTCATCTTAATAATCACTCTATGTAACTCTTCATTTCTCTATGCTTAGTAACAAATCCTAGTCAGAAAACCCTTTCAGCATGGCTGACAGTTTACAGAAGCTCTGAAAATTTTTAATCAGCCGTAAGTATTCAGTCTTCTGACCTCATTTCCTTTGTTAAACCACACAGACCCTTAGGCATCCACTAATACTTGATTTTTATAGCCCTTGATTGCTGCCATATCACTTTCTTCAATGTTCACTAACACCACTTATGTTCCTCGGTGTGGAAGGAAATGGTAGTTTGTAGGCTATTTGCTGCTTTTCAATTTGTATTATAGCAATTTGTGCTGTGTCAAATTAGATATTATATAAGGAGGAATCTGGACCACTGTAGACCGACCGTGTGGCATTATTTTCATTCTAGTTATATTTGAGAATTCTGTTATCATGTGTAAAGAAGCAAAGGGAAATATAAATGACAGCATCATTTAGAAATAACTGTAAGCACATCAGCTTCCTTATAGCTGTGGCATTTGCTTTCATGGCTTTTATCAATAAGATTATAACCACATCTCTGATTGGCACTTTTGTGCTAAGGCTCTGAATTGTTTGATGTGTAAGGGGAGTTTTTCATTGGGACCACTGGTCAACTCTGACCTGCCAGTCAGCTCCCAAATAACAACACAGAGACTTAATATTAATTTTAAACACTTGACCAATAGCTTAGGCTTGTACTAACTAGCCCTTACAACTTTAATTACTTTGTATTTCTATCTATGTTCTACCACATGGTTTAGTATCTTATGTTAGTATGTTCATCTCCTGCATCCTCTGCATTCTCTCTCTCTCTCTCTCTCTCTCTCTCTCTCTCTCTCTCTCTCTCTCTGTGTGTGTGTGTGTGTGTGCGTGTGTGTGTGTGTGTCCCTCTCTCTCTTTCTCTACCCTTCTTCCCAGCATTCTTTCTGTCCTGAAAATCCTGTCTAGCTACTGATCATTTAGCTTTTTTATTGAACCAATCCCAGTGATATATATTCACACAACGTTAAGGAAGATTCCACACTACTTGTGCTTCCTTCAACCAACAATTCTTTATCAGATAGTGAGAAAGACTCAGAACAAATATGCTAGACAAGTGTGAAAAGGCAAAAATAGTCATCTAGACTGTTAACTACCTTGCCACTAAGCCTTGTGAGAGTTGGGGAGGAACTGTCGTTTCATTAATACATAAATAATTGAAATAAACCAACATAGAATAGAGAGGCCATTTTGAATCACCATCTGGTTCTCTGGGATTCTAACAGTGTCTTCTAAGTGCCACAGACTTCAATAGAGAAAAAGGTTATTTATATTATAATTATTCTTATCCTTCTTTTCCTCTGAACAGTGACTATCATATAAATCAACAGTCTTCAGAGTTATACAGAATCTAGGAGGTCATTTTATTCTGCTCTTTAGAGAAGAAAAAATGAATGTAAGAAGGACAAAAGACTCAAAGTGATATTCTGTGCACATGTAGAACTTCCCATTACAGAAGCCCTATTTAAATTCCTCTCCATTGCTTTTATCACATAATTTTATCAGCAATTATTATAACACATTGTCAGATCAAGGGCTGGCATTTAATTACTGAACTATATTTACTTTAGTTTAAGTAAACTATTAAGTTATGGTAGATAAAAATAAATAATAAAAATATAATATAAGTCGTGATTGTCTCACTGACTCACTAAATTAGGAACTTTTTTCAAGTTTATTCACTTAACTCCAAGTTTCCAGGGTTATTCACATAAGTTATTTTTGAAGGTTTTTTTTATAGGAGGAGAAAGATGAAGAGGAGGAGGATAAAGAGAAAGGAAGAAGAGAAAGAACAGAAGAAAAAAGAAAGGAAGGAAGGAAAAAAGAAAGAGAGGGGGAGGGAGGGAGGAAGGGAGGGAGGGAGAAAAAAGAAAGAAGAAAGAAAGAAAGAAAGAAAGAAAGAAAGAAAGAAAGAAAGAAAGAAAGAAAGAAAGAGAGGAAGGAAGGAGAGGGGAGGGAGAGGGAGGGAGGAAGGGAAAGATGGAAGGAAGGAAGGAAGGAAGGAAGGAAGGAAGGAAGGAAGGAAGGAAGGAAGGAAGGAAGGAAGGAAGGAATAGCATATAGGATCTTGGAACAAAAGCTGAACTCTTATTTCTTGAGTTAGTAAGCTGTGGTAATATTTAAGAGTAATATTTCCTTTATCTGAGACTGTTGGGGGCATAGGTGTCAGATGCCAAAGAAAGCTTCTCCCATCTTCATTCTTAAGACTCAAAGCTACAGGCAGAGGCTGTTTTCTTCCTGCTGCAGAGCACTTCTAAGAAGAACCAAGCAGAGGAAACCTGTGTTATCACTGAAAAGACTGAAAATTGTCAGCTTGTGTTTGCTCTCTCCAGCCACCTGTCTTCTATCCAATCATGGACGGTACCCTCTGAAACTATAAAACAAAATATGTCTCCTCCTTGAAGTACCTTCTGCTGGGCATTTTGTCACAGGGAGGTAACTATTACACACTCTGATCTTCTGTTTCTTTTTGTCATGTTGCTCTTCAGGGACAGGAAAGCTCAACTCTGACTGAGTCCCTGCATAATGTCTTTCTGACTCCAGCTAACCTTCAAAAATATAAAAAGATTCTTTTTCGTACCTATGAGAATAACAAATTACATGAATTTCCAAAATTCCATTATTAACATAATAATTTAGATATAAATATCTAAGAAATGCTTTTTCTAATGTTCAAATTAACATGTCACATATTGAACAATAGCCTAGCCATATTTATCTTACTCCTTTTATATGTAAAATATCCTCACAGGAAAAGACTCAGCAAAATAGTATAAAAGTATTAAACTTGAAAAAAAGAAGAGAAATATTTTTAAATTCTTCTTTGTTTGAGCTAGGGACATACACCAGTGATTAGAATGACTAGCTACCATGCATAAAGATATGGGTTCAAATCCCCAGTACCGCATAAACCAGGCACCGAGGTGTACACCTGTAATCTCAACACTCGGGAAGTGGGAATAGTAGAGTCAGACAGTCATCCTTGGCTATACATTGAAGTCAGCCTGGCTTCCATGAGACTCTATGCAAAATTAAAAATATCACTCTGTCTGAAAATTTACCAAGACAACTATCACCAGTGACCTGCCATATAATGTTATCTACACAGTTTAATATGATGTGAATGGAAAACACTCTTTTATAATGTGTTCCCCAAACTTACAACCCCAATGAACATCAGGCACACGTAGACAAACTAATGCTAGACCTAACCACCAAAGAAATCGGGGTCATGGACAAGAAATATAGACCAGGAAATTGGTACAGACCAAAATAAATGGAGAAGAGTGACATGTACATGCAATTTGGTGATCTGGATGGGACTTCTGAACAGAAAAACATATGTCAGTAGAAAACTGAAGAAAGTGGGATATCTGGAGCTCAGGTGATAAATTTACACCTATATTATTTTCTTAGTTTCAAGAAAGCAACCATAATAGTAGAAAATGTTAATACTAAGGTAGACTGGAAGTAGGGTTCAGGGGAATACTCTAAATTTTGTTTACAATTCTTCGAAAAATCTAAAATCATTTCCAATATTTAGGGAAGATTCTATGCAAGCTTCCAAAGTAGAGAAGAAACACTAGTCCCACTCAGTTGTAACCACAATGATGATTTCCCAAATAGTTCCATAGTGGCTCTTCAAGCTTGGGGGTAACTAACAGCTGTCTAATCAAACTTAAGGCTTTCTCCAAAAGAGGAAATTCATGCCTGGTGTTGTAAACGTAGCCAACTACACATGACTGGACAGGTCATAACCCATAGAGAAGAGTATATTAATGGCATTTATCTACTATAATTCCTGTGTGTATTTTAAGTACTTGTACTCACAGATAACTGAGCTCTCGCTCCTCGTCAAAGAAGCTTCTTTTCGTACAGATGGACCCTATTACAGAGATATACAAGTGGTCAAAATACAGAGAATAAATAATCATGGAGTGTCCACCCCTAATAGTAAGGATGGGAACAGAATGATCGTTAAGGGCCAGAGGCCAAGGCACTGGCTGTGAGACAGTGTCATCTAGACATGACAGGGAAGCTGACCCCATGAAATATCAACAGTATTACTGAGTAAACATGGCATTTATAATGACAAAACCAAATGACATGCCTATGTGGACATGGTAAACTTCACAAGGTCTCACTCATAAATTAAAAGTGGCAATTAATGACTACTGAGAACAGAGAATCAATCTAACCTAGGATGCCTTTATTTGGTTATCCAATACCAAATGGTCAGCCCTAAAATCACATGCATACAAGCAAACTAAATGGAATCATCAGTTTATAAACACACAAACACACATGCACACACACATGGTGATTAAGGAAAAAGAGAACATTAATTTAAGAAAGAATAGTAGAGGAGGATGTGGAAAGAGTTGGAGAGAGAGAAGGAGCAGATGGATTAATATAGTACTCATATATTAAATTTGAAAAACAAAAGAAATTTTTAAAAGAAACTGATAAAATAGTAGGTAATTTGATACTATCTACTAAATCTAAAAACAAATGCATTGAATATATAATCCATTTTGATAAACTGTAAAGAAGAAAAAAATATGCTGTGGGAACTCCTTCAGCTAATAGCCTTTAAGACACCAGCCCACTTTGGGCATGGTCTTATGTACTACAAATGCAGGTGAAAAGTATGTGTAAGCCTCTTGGTTGCTTGATTTGGTTCCTGTTCCTAGCACTCACAGAGGACTGAAGATTGAAGGCGTAAATCACAAACAATCCCACACCAGTTTGGAATTATGATTAATAGAATGGTCATTTATTTAAAGGGAAAAAACTTACAGATCACTGTCCCAGATAACAGCCCTCTTTGCCATCAGGAAAGGAGTCTAGTAGCCAGAAGAGGAGCCAGAAGACAAAATTGGGAGTTGCTGTGAGAACTCCTTCAGCCAATAGCCTTAAAGATACAGGCCCACTTTGGGCATGGTCTCATGTACTATAAATGCAGACGAAAAGCATATACGGGCCTCATGACTGCTGGATTTGGTTACAGTTCCTGGAGCTCACAGAGGATTGTGGATCACTACTCTTTCTGTGAGTTTATCCCCAGATAAATAAACCTTTGTTATACTCCATTCTGAGCTATTGTGGAACTCTTTTGTATGCCAACAAAAAATGTATATATAAATATATATAACAAGATATATCCATTGAAAAATTAGTTATTCCTCAAAATCAAGCAAATGTTGGTTCCATCATGCCATGTTAAGCACCATAGACTGAGAGTAAGCTGCAACCCAGTAAAATGATTTGCCTGAATTCATGTATCTCATCAAACTTGATGACACAAGTATTGCAATTCCAAGTCTATGCTCAGAACATTTTATATTGTAGCATCACCTCTCTCCTCCTCCTTCATCTCCATGCCTTCTCTCCTCTTCCATGCAACATGGTATTAAGCATTTGGTTGTCATATTTCTCAACTCATGGTACAATAGCATCACAACCAACCTCAGTAAATCTCTGCTTATGGTATTTTATTTCCAATTCAACTTCAGAGCACCCACACCAATGTTTCCTAAAATATGTGTGCCTACTTTCTAACCTCCTATCAGCCATACATTTTAAGCCCCTTTATGCCAATTGTGTAACTTTCCTGAGGGACCTGTGAACAGATATCTATTTGCCACTGATTGAGTGCTAAGAGTGATCAAAGAAATTATTCCAATCAAATGTAGTTTGATAAATCAGTAAATTTATTGGGATTATGTAAGTATAAAAACCTGAGTGAGGAATTATTCATAGTATAGGAAGATGGTCTTTCAAAGGCAGGAATGACACAGAAAAGTCTACCCCTGCCTGGGTAACAACCTATAAACACTACAACTCTGACGCTTCCTACCCAGCTTGAAGGCAGCTATACAGAAAGAACCCCTCCCCCAGCAATTGTTCACAGCTTACATAAACATGGAGAGGCACCTCATAAATCTTGCAACTTTATAAGCTTCCTGAGTCTTGTAAATTTATAAACTTCCTTAACTTTGTATGTTTGCTTGCTAAAAGCCACTCTCCCCTCTCCAACAGGAAATAACTACAACAATCATCACTTAGTCTCATTCTCCACAACGTGGCTATTCATAAGTCTCTGTGGTAAACACTGCTCACTTAGCTTTCTTCACTGAACAAGGTTGAAAAAATAGTAATATATGGGCACAGGCATAAATGTCTAGAAAGCAGTGTGATTCCATCCATTTGCCTGCAAAATTCAAGATGCCATTTTTTTCTGCTGTGTAATACTCCATTGTGTAAATGTACCAGATTTTCCTTATCCACAAATCACAATCCCAGAGAACTTAGACAACAATGAGGACCCTAAGAGAGACATACATAGATCTAATCTACATGAGAAGTAGAAAAAGATAAGATCTTCTGAGTAAATTGGGAGCATGGGGTCCTGGGAAGAGGGTTGAAGGGGAAGAGAGAAGCAAGGAGGGGAGCAGAGAAAAATGTAGAGCTCAATAAAAATCAATAAAAAAATTAAAAAATTAAAAAAGAAAGCAAAGTGATTGTCACATTATATCTGTTTAACAAAAATAAACAGATAAAAGTCTATGACCTCCCAAGCTTTTTCTTGGCTTTAAGGAACACAAATGAGTCATTTCCTGTGGACTAGGTCTTAAATCCTATCATAAAGTAGTTCTCTAACAAAGTACTCATAATAATTGAGCCACTGGGATACCAGTGGGCACATCTTACCTGGCATATTGGTAGTGTATACAAAGGGTCTATTAGCAACCATGACTGTTGGCAAAAATGTCCTCTCTAACAGCCTTGAGAGCACCTTCTTGCTTAATAAAAGTCAGCCATCACAGAAGAAACTCATTCACTGTTCTATCTCTCTGACTCCTAAAGCCAGAGAATGGTGTTGGTTCAGTTGATGAGTAAGATTTGATGGCATGAAAGGCAGTGGTCTCAGAACAGCCTTGTGACATTGAGGCACCACACCTCATTTCTGTGAATAGGCATAACCCTTGCAGAGTTGATTCCATACTACCCCAGAAAAAGCCTAAGCCAAGGGCTTCATCCAGTCCTTTATCAGATGAGCTGCCTTCACTGTTCATGGTGTTGGATTCCATCTGTTGCAATGTTGTATGAACAGTTACTGTCCTAACACTGTATATCATTCAAGCTTCTTCCCACTTCTATGACTGGGACCAAAACAAAACTGGAACTGTTTACTCTGATAATTTTCATTACAGTCACCAGCTGTGGTCCTGTACGCTTGTAATCACTTCTCATGAGAAGAGACAGTGAGATGTTGAAAGACACAGCTATCCTATAAGGATCTTAGCCTGATCAAAAAAATTCTTGACACATTTTGTTCTAATCATCAATTCTGCATGGCACCCATTTTTACTTATACAACTTATACAAAGAACAAGCGATTTGGCAAAGCAGGTATGAAAATTCTCATGCTCCAGAAACTCAAAGAAAAAGCTACTTCTTTTACACTCTCAAGCATAGACTGTTCTAGGATTTTCTCAATAAACTTTTCAGATATTGTATTCATCCTATGCAACCATAATACTTCCAGAATATTTATAGTTATGCCTGGCCCTTTCTCCTTGTCAGCATTGATTTTTCATCCATAGTCCTTCAAGTGGGCCTGTCTGTCTAAATCTTTTAGGTATTTTTTTCTAAATCTGTAAAACACTTAGAGGTTAGCATTATATCATCTATGTAATCAAACTTTTTAACAGAGGGTAGGCAGGGTAACAAAGCAAAGTCCAAGGCCATCATCCCATGACAAATAGCGCAAGGAATGAAGGTAACTTTGAAAATGTATTCTATAGGTCCACTGATGGCAGTTCCAGGTGATAAAAATTGGTCTGGGATATATTAGCTAAGGGTATACCATTAAAAAAAATGATGTTTAATGGGGTAAAATACAGCATGTAAGGAGCCCATCACTTGCACAGCTGATTTTTCAAAGCAGCATTGTTAGGTACAGAGACACAAATAGAGCATATATGTATTTGACTCTCTATTCCTAAGGCTCCAGAAACCATCTGGCTTCCTCATAAGCCATGCTAGATCAATGAAAGGGCTTTGGCCTAAATAAATAATCTTTTTGATCTTTTAGTATATGTAATTTTGTCATAGCCCCCAATCTATACTGTTTGTATTTACAGCTCTACTTAGTGTATACAACTTTATAGCCTCCCATATCACCCAAACACATATTATTTCCTTTATAGTTCACACTTTCAGCCAAAACTTTCCACTAGAGGTTTTCAGGGTATGTCCCAACAGTACCTATACCACCAGTGTGCTCTCTTTCAGGGCAGAAATGCAGACAGTGCAATTTGGGGAGGGAGATGATTGACTTACTAGAATAAACTCTTTTCTTTAACCTTTATATAGATCCTGGATTTTTATATCCCCATATCCATCTTATGCTGCCCATTGCCCCCCAATATTTAGGGAAATTGCGGTGAAGTGAGACGCATTCAACTGTAGAATCCACCTAAGCCCCAGTGTTTTGCACGTTAGAAAGCAACAATAAAGCTGTAATTCTTTACGGAGCCTCCAATCACACGGATGCTCTTCGTGCACAGGTAACCTCAGTCATCATATCCAAGGAGCATCAAGGCTGGTTGCTAGTTAGGAGATGTTCTTCTATAACAATGAGTGTAGTGGGGTCCCTGCACTTCCCCTGTCCTCCCCTCTGTCACTTACCCTTTAAGTGACTTTCTGTTCCGGCTTGAAGGTCTCCCAAAGACACAGCGTCATCATTTGGTTTTCCATTCATCTTCCCCTAGGACTTTTCATATGCAAGTTTGTTCTGAAGAGATAACTGAGTCTTAGCTACAACTGTATGTACCTGCAGCCTGATAATAGTCCTATAGTAACTGTACGGCTTCCTGGGATAGCAGTTATGTTCTCTACTCCACTACCCATTTGAAAGGCATCCCAGTACTCACATGGTAGCCTCTACTCATGAGTAGACTGTACTCAAGGGGGTACACTCATGTGCTGGCTAGTTTTATGGCAACTTTACACAAGCTAGTAGGGTCATTTGGAAGGGGGAACCTCAACTGAGAAAATGTCCCTAACAGATTGGCTTTCAGGAAAGTTTATGGTACATTTTCTTGGTTGATGATTGATGCAGGGGGGCACAGCTCACTGTAGGTTGGATGCCAACCTGAGTTGATGTTTCTGGGTGCTATAAGAGATCAGGCTAAGAAAGCCAGGAGGAGAAAACCAGTAAGCAGCACCTCCATAGCTTCTGCATCAGCTCCCCATTTCAGGTTCCTATCCTGGACTTCACTGAATGAGAGGCCAGATAAAATAAACCCTTTCCTTCTCAGGATCCTTGTGATCACTGTGTTTCATTGCAGCAAAATGAAACCTTAACTAAGATACTACTCCATCCCACATTTTCTTAGTTATTTTATACTCTGGGACCAAATATCTGGCAAAAGTAGCTTAATGAAGTAAAGGTTTGCTCTGCCTCACAGTTTGAGGGTACAGTCTGTCATGGTGGGAAAGTCACGATGGCAGGAGCTTAACGCGGGTGGTCACAATATACCTGTAGTCAAAAAGAAGAAAAAGCTGATGGAGATGCTTGGCTCCCTTTGTCTTTTATATTCAGTCTGGTACACAACCCCACACCATGGTGCCACTCACATTAAAGGTGAGTCTGCCTGTCTCAATTAACATCATCTAGAAACTTGCTCACAAACTAGAGATCTATTCCCATGGAATACCAAATTGCATCAAGGTAACAATCAAGATCCTCTATCACACACAGAGAGGAAGAGGGTTATCCTGATATACCCCTCAAAGACTCACTCAACATCACATGACTTACCTTGTGTAACAGGCTTTCTTTGGACCACCAGTCCTTGAATAATGACACAGAGGCTTCTTATTAAGTATGAAAGCCTGGTCTTAGCTTAAACTAACCTATTTATATTAATCTATGTTATGCCTTATGACTCATTACCTTTCCTCAGTACCATATGTCTGACTTCCTCCACTTCTGGCTGGAGAATTCCCTGTTCCTCAGATACCTTGCAAAGTTCCTACCTTTGCCCGGAAGTCCCTCCTATCATGTTTCCTGCCTGGCTATTGGCGGTACAGCTCTTTTATTAAACCAATTAGAAGGTGCCTTAGACAGGCAAGGAAGGACAGAGACAAGTCTGGATACAATGTAATCAAATAACCTGCAACAACCTTGGGTTGCAAGTCTTATCACCCTAACAGGGAGTATTCAGCTGCCAATACAACACAGAGCACAGAGGCACAGTGTTCCATATCACACAGGGATAGGCAGACACCCAAGGCTGCCTCTGTGGGTATTGCCTCAACCTCAGGAGCTATACAGTCACTCAAGCCCACCTCATGCTTGGTTCCGTCAGTTCCTGTTTGTATTCCAATGGTATCGTGGGCCTCTTCTGATGTTTATTCATCCTAGGTAAGGCACTGAAATCAGACCAAAGAAGTTACTCTAACCAAATAGAGCTTGAAGAACCAGTGATCATAATGAGGTTGCTACAGGAATATCGGTGAGCCGTGACTAAAAGGAGCATGGCGACTTGATGGCCAACTGTGCAACTGGAAAGCCCATTCCAGAATGAATGACAGCTTTTGGAAGCATCATACCTGGGTTCCTTGCCTGACTTGCAGTCTGCTAAACTGAAGAGTCGCCTTTCCCTTAGCGGTTGTTCACTGCTTACGTAACGTTGGGGAGGAGCTTTGGGAGTCTTCCCATTTTCTGAGTTTTCTGAGTATTTTAAGTTTCCTACTCTTCCTGGATCTCATAAGTCCCCCCCTTTAAAAGGGATTTTTATGATTTATTTTTAATTACATGTATATGAGTGAGAGGAAGCATATGAGTACAGATGCCCAAGCCAGATCACTTTAGACTGAGAGTAACTGGTGACTGTGAGCCACCTGACGTGGGTGCTGGGAATGCAGGAGCAGCTTGTACTTTTAACCGCTGAACTATCTCTCCAGCCTCAAAGAGAACATTTTCGTTCAGAAGAAATACCTGTGCGCCAGAATCCCATCTTCATCTGATGTTAAGCTTATCTTTATGATCCAGTACTTTTCCTTCAAGGCTTACGCCTCCAAAAAACAAATCAGACACTGGAAGAATTTCTCCCTTGAATGCCACCAACCTGTCTTGACTTACTCAAGGAACCCTCCTGTTTTGCATATACAGATCAAAATCACTCTTGAAAATTTTTCCAGCGCACGTTTTCAAAAATTACATCATAAGAATTTTGATTTTTGTTCACCATTGGCCACCTTACTGTAAGGCTCTGTCATACCGCTATGATTTTGTTGACAGAATGTGAAAATCTGAGCTACATCTACAACTCTATCCTGTCATTCCAATCTAAACCTAAAGAGCCATGCTTGGGACAAAACAAAGTAACAAAACGTAGTCCCAACAGTCATTTAATCTTTGCCCTTGATACTAAAGCAGCCAAAGAGTTACCAATTAGCAGTAAAAACCAGCAGTGATTTAGACAGCTTTCACAAATTCTGCAAAAGATCAAAGGCAGAAATGAGAAGAGACCAGTCAAAGTCATTCCTTTGATAAAAAGAAACAAGTTTTCTCCTTCAGGCCTATAACTTCCTGTCTCAACAAAGAAAAATAAAAGACAGAGACACAAATGGAGAGAGAAGTTCCCAAGCAAAAGGCCACATGGGATTTCCAGTTCATAAAGCACTAGGTGTTCTCAGATGACTATCTCACTTAAATTCACTGACGTTTTATTATGCGCTTGTTTGCCTACTTCATAATGGTCTCATAGCACTAGACTACTAGATCCTTTTCCTTCTAGATGCCTTGTGGTTTAGGATGAATATAAAGTATAGAAGAGTAAGAACAAAAGCATATTTTACCAGAGCATATTAGTGAAATTGTTACTGCATAAGGCTTGTAAGACATGTTTCATTCTTAAATCTAATTCATTCAAATGTCTTGTTTTCACTAAGTTTTTTTTTTATCCTGAGAAACAAACTCTGCAGTGGAGGCATCAGCTATAAATGAAAAGGGATGAAACTGTATCCTGAAACTAAACAGGCTGCAACTCTTGACCTCTGGCCAAATTGCAGTCCTTGCTTTCAACTCTGAAATGTGTTTACTACAACTATATCTAAAAAGTACTTTTGGGTCCTGACTGTGCTACCAGGTGCATGCACAGGACACTTCCTATCATTGAGCCTCGAGCTCTGCATTTTCCATAAAATTCACAGAAACTACTTTATGCCTAGGCTAACTACACAGCAGAGATAAATCTGTTTTTTATTAAGAGAACAAAAATAAGTAGTAGTGGGCAAGGTAGAATAATTACTACTTTTCAAACTAGATTTCAATAAATCTCAGCAGCAACAGAAGAACATAAAATATAGATAAGTAAATGAATTTACTGTATAAAAGCAATTACAAAGTGATAATCCTATTAAAATATAACAGGGTACAATACTTCCAACAACTCACTAAAATTACTATAACACCTACATACTGCAGAATCCCTAGAGATATCACTACAGTTTTTCTGTGCAAACTGTACACTTTCTCTAAAATTTTATGAGCTATGACCAAATGTCCTTAAATTTTAATCTTGAAATGTATAAAATAAATGTGAAAGAATAGTACTGAAAACTAGAAGTAATCAAAAGTCATATTTTTCTTAGCAATATATATATGGATGTTTATGTATATGGCTAGAAAATATATGTATGTATATATGTTTGCTTTATATATTACATATGGATATATATATATATTTACAGTCAAGTTAATTTTATGTAACAAAACCCTATACATTACAAAACTTACCCAAAAGATATGTCTTCTGTTGGGAATCTGCAACTCATAATGAAATTAAAATCCTTTTTAAAAAGCTGAAGCATTTTTTTTTTGTCTATTGCATCATTAGAATGAATTGTTCCGTTCTTTTCATAAAACAGCCACTCAGAGACTCAAAAGCACAGGTTAGTGGCACCCTGTGTCTTACCAAGGATTTATTCCCCACAGCTGCCCTTCCTGGATGGCAAAGAAGCCTAGAAGAGAACCATAGTAAACATGGCCCATGACACTGTATGTTATGATTTGTCCATGGCCCATGACACTGTATGTTGTGACTTGTCCATGGCTCATGACACTGTATGTTGTGACTTGTCTATGGCCTGTGGCACTGTACATTATGACTTGGCCTGCATTTTCAGCCTTTACTTCCTCCTCAAAATTCTGATCCTTTCTTATCCCGCCTCACAGATGGACCTTCTGTTTCAGAGGGTTCATAGCTTGGGGAGATGCACAATGCCTTTTCCCTCAGCAGCCTGCTCAACACTTCCTAGGCGTGAACACTAGCAGAGGGAGGAAGGTTCCAATCCCAGCTCTAGTCTGCTTCTTACAACCAGAGAATGACCTTACTCACTAGTTCTGCAAGATAGCTAAGCAGACTGACAAGATATTTGGGTGTTTGAACCATAATTTCCAGTATGACCAGCTGCATCAGGAGTCAAAGAAGACACTAACTGGCAAAATTGTTTTCTAGGAACCTCTTTCAAACTTCTAGGACACTTCTTTCAAACTTTCAGAACAAATCTTGGCAACCACTACAAATCTTCGTTCTTCAGCACGTATATGAGACCATCTAACATTACCAGTTTCGCTCTTCGCCGTTATTTAGCGTCTCAACTTTTCTTCATCCCTCGGATGCAGTGTTCTTGTCCCTTGTACAATTAATTATCTTCTCAACTGGAATTGTTGACCCTATACCTTCTTACTCCAGGAATACCATCGTCATTCCCGAATACTGCCTCTTCTCACTTTATCACTATAAATAGGTTTATAGTGATATCATTTATATTTATCTTGAAAGGCTTACCATTTACAAAAGAAAAGAGGAAAGAGAAGGGTATGCTTAAGGGTATCACATAGGGATCGAAATCTTCATGGTTGTAAGCAAGACAGCACTCAGCAGGTCTTGTGGGTCAGGCAGAGGCATTTTTCATTCCTTAGCACAGCCTTGAGAAATGAATCACCGAGACCTCATGAAGAATGACATCAGCTCATTTAGGAGCACTGGACATCAGGACGAAGAATCCTTAGCATTAGAAAGACATCTCATGCCCCACCTAGGGATACTTGCTTAAGCAAAATAGGATGTTAACTTTGACTCAAGTTAAATTTAAAATATAAAACTTCTTCACGAATATCCAGTGCTAAATTCTATTCCTTTGTCTAAAAATAAAAATAAAACCAACTCTAAGACTCTACAGGAAATTTTTGATGTTAGTCTTTAAACTGTGTTTCATGAGATATGAAAGGTGATGGAGATCTGAATTATTTGGAAAAATAATTCATGCACTGTAATTGAGGAGTTCATTTTCTAAAGTAGCATTTCTTCACTACCTTTTGCTTCTTAACTTTTGTATGATTGCTAATAACCAACCTGGAATAAATATGTCAACATATAGAAGTATGCCTTAAGTGAAGTCCTAATGGCTTTCTTATGAAATGCAATAATACAGTGTATGAAATATTTGTAAACTGAAACACATTACGCATTCCCAAGGGGTTTTCTAATTTCAGTTATTGTGAATCTAATCTAGTTGAAACACAACATGAGCAAACCCATAAACATGTCTGTTAAGATTTTTATTTGGCACTGTTTACGTAATTAATTTCTCAGCTCACAGTGTTCACTTACAGTGTGTGAGTTACACCTTAGATATATTTGTTGCCATGTTTCAAAGTGCAAAGAAAACAAATGCCTTTTGCCTGGATGCTAACTCATATACACAATGCAAGAAGAGGCCAACTTGCCTTTCTGCCGGGTTGCCATAGACCATCTGGTTGGCATGCACCCCACAGATAGAATGCCACGACACCAATGAATAGTAAAATGTTTACATCAATATATTTTTTAATCTGTGGGAATAAGACTTTTAGGAACATACAAGTAATTGCAGCCTTTAGAAGGTATTAATATATGCAAATCTGAACATAGACCCATAACCAAATCCACTTTTCTTCAAAGTTTCTACCTTTTTAAAAGTAATAACTGAGCCCAGGCCTGTAACAGATCATGTTCAGGGCTAGTTCTGCCTCTCTGCCTCCATCCTCTGGACTGCAGAAGAAATCTCTCTTGCCGCAGGCCCAGTTTCCTTTATCCCATCCTCCATATCAGCCTCCAGTACCTGGAGTCCTCTGCCCCTGAACACCAGTAGGCCACACTGGCCTGGGATGCTGGTGGACCATCTTCACTCCTCCTCCTGTCCTCCACTGCACCTTCCCTGGTCCTGTCCCTATCCCTGTGGTAAGCCAATTGCAGGGACCTGTCCTCCTACCCTGCCTCTTTTTCCCGTGGACTCCACCAAACCTTGCAGAGGACACAGCTATCCTCCTTTCTGTGGACCCTCTCAGGCCCCAGTTCTAGTTCATCCCAGTGTTTTTGTTCT